ATTATTATTATTATTATTATTATTATTATTATTATTATTATTATTATTATTATTATTATTATTATTATTATTATTATTATTATTATTATTATTATTATTATTATTATTATTATTATTATTATTATTATTATTATTATTATTATTATTATTATTATTATTATTATTATTATTATTATTATTATTATTATTATTATTATTATTATTATTATTATTATTATTATTATTATTATTATTATTATTATTATTATTATTATTATTATTATTATTATTATTATTATTATTATTATTATTATTATTATTATTATTATTATTATTATTATTATTATTATTATTATTATTATTATTATTATTATTATTATTATTATTATTATTATTATTATTATTATTATTATTATTATTATTATTATTATTATTATTATTATTATTATTATTATTTTTATTATTATTATTATTATTATTATTATTATTATTATTATTATTATTATTATTATTATTATTATTATTATTATTATTATTATTATTATTATTATTATTATTATTATTATTATTATTATTATTATTATTATTATTATTATTATTATTATTATTATTATTATTATTATTATTATTATTATTATTATTATTATTATTATTATTATTATTATTATTATTATTATTATTATTATTATTATTATTATTATTATTATTATTATTTACTAATCATTATCAGTTACTAATCACTTCTAGAAGAGAAGTGCATAGCAGGATATTGTGGTTAAAGATCTACATAGTCTCATTTAATGCCACATCAACCTACTGAAAAAGGAGATGATCATACCAAAGTTTACTTTAAAGAGTCTAAGTTTTTGACCAATATTGTCCCTTATCTTTGAGGGTAGATCTATTTTGGTCCCTTAAATATAATCCCGAGTATATTTAGTCCCTTAAATATGCTAAAGTGGAGCACCTTTAGTCTCACTGACAGAATGTGTTCCAAAACTAACCAACTCTGATTCATGAAGCAAATCTTTTACTCGGAAGCAAAACGTTTCCTCTCCTTTTATTGGATAACGCAAATTATCACTTTAATTTCTCACTTTTAGATAATGTCTTCTAAAATTTTGACCTTGAAAATATCCCCTTCTGTGCCAGTTTTCAATGAGAAAATAACAGTATAGCCGCTATAAAAATAATAGCCGAAAAAATGTATAAAATTTGTATATTATTTTGTATATATATACTTTTTGTATGTTAATATACAAAAATTATACAAATTTTATATTCTTTTTCGGTTACCAGATGTAAATAGTTTCTAGTGCGGGCTAAAAGTGATAATACGATGTGGTTATTCGTTTGCTTCAATAATATGCCTAAAAGTGATCTTGACAGCTCTCTTTTTTTTTCTTCAAATTTTAACTTTTCTATTTGTAAAAATCAACCGAAATTTTTAAAAGTTAAAGTTTCAACGTTAAAATCTTAAATTTATCAGCTCTGTACTATTAGTGGGTGTTGGTTTATAAAATATTTTCGATAAGTAAATTAAAAAGACGATGAGTGCCGAAACCAATCCCGTAATTGATCTTGGACAAATTCTGTCAGTGAGACTAAAGGTGCTCTACTTTAGCATACTTAAGGGACTAAATATGCTCAGAATTATATTTGAGGGACCAAAATAAATCTACCCTCAAAGATAAGGGTCAATATGACCAAAAACTCGTCAAGACTTCATAAACCCTATATATATAGATAATATAGCTTGACAAAATAGACCTTTATCATTTCAACAGAAATTAGGAAAAGCAATTTGTTTTTTTTAATTTATTTATCGCGGTGATGTCGAGATTAACTTGCTTTTGTCATATCTACTATTTCGTTAGATACCTGCTATTTTTTATCAAGTAGTAATAAATAGTTTTATCGTAGATTATTCCAAAAGATAGCTATCTCCTATAAACATTATAAGTAACAAATAATTCTCGCCACCAAATTTAAGCAAATGAAAAAAAAATCAACTATTTAGCAAATGTTTCATAATTTTAATCTTACTTCATTGACGATTAGGCCATACTTTAATCCATAATTTCACTTATATTTAGGAGATTTCTACTCAACCCCTTTCGTCCTGACAGGTGGAAAAGGAAAATGTCGGCATGTTCAATTGAAAAGAATCTGTACTGTTATTTTCTGTGGCACATATTCAAGATCGTATTTATAGTAATAAAAAGTTTGGTCCTAGCTAGCTGAAAAATTTGGTTAGTAGGGAATGCATGCACGTAAACGCCGCACTTCATTAAAAGATTGTATGCTACAATTTTTTTTGGTTTCCAATTTTGGATGGGAGCCTTGGCGCAACGGTAAAATTGTCTCTGTGTAACTTATCGGTCACGAGTTCGAGTCGTGTAATCAGTCACTGATACTTACATTAGGGTAGGCTGCTTACATCATACCCCCTTAGGGTGCGGTCCTTCCCGGCCCGGACCTTGCGTGAACGCCGGATGCTTCGTACACCGGGCTCTGCCCTATTTTGTGTTCGGTATCCCCTTTGGAGTTCGACTAATCTGTATTCACGCTGGAAAATCCCATTTTGGAGGGTAAAACGCTCCCTACCAAATCTCGAAACCGATATCTCTAATTAAAGATAGAGGAATATTAACCATTCCAGGAGCGGAGATAGCATAGGACTTGCGAGTTCGGCCGAACCCAGTGACTTTAGTCTTAAAAAAATTTATTTATTAATTTAGAACTCAGTAACATAAACAAATTAGAATCTCGAACCCGCAAATTTCAAATCCTGGCTCCGCCTCTAAACCACTCCACGACAACCTTCCGTGGTAGGTTGTATGCTACACTTTAATAAACAAGAATTAATGCTTAAGCATTAAATTAACTTCATTTCTCAAGCTATAAATACCATCATGAAACAACACAATTTCTTCAGATCAAGTTGTATACTACAATATACATCAAGTTTTTTTTAGAGGAAAAAAAGATGGGAATTGTCACAATTACTGATGAGTTCACTAGCCCAATTTCAGCCCCTAGAATGTTTAAGGCTTTCATTCTTGATGGAGACAATCTTCTTCCTAAAATTGCACCTCAAGTTTTTAAAAATATTGAGACAATCCAAGGAGATGGAGGCCCTGGAACCATCAAGCAAATGAACTTTGCTGAAGGCAATATATTTATTCTTTTCCTCTTTTTTTTTTTTTTTTTTTAAAAAAAAAAAAAATCACACTTCTTTCGAGTATTTAGATCGGTCTTAGCATGGGTGTGCTTGGTACGGCGGAAGTTATTTTTTAGGAAAATATTTTTTGGTATTTTGTTACCATAAAATGTTAAGGAAAAAATGTTACCACAAAATACCAAAAAAAAACTTCCTCACGAAAAATGTTAGCATCAACCCTATGCTTCAACTACGTATACTTGCTTCAACTAACACTTAGACTGTATTATTAGTCTCGAGCTGCGCAAAAACAAATCCACTCTTTACTAAGGCCCCGTTTGGGCATGAGTTTTTCCAAAATAAATTTGGGATTTATTTTCAAAACTCATGTTTGGCCATAAATTTTGCTCATATTTTGGCCAAATCCCAAATTTCAAATCCCAAAATCAGCTATTGAGCTGATTTTGGGCCAAAATCCCAAAACTTGGGAATTATATACATGTTTTTCCAAAATAAAGTTGAAAAATATGTTTTGAAAACGTATGTCCAAACACATTTTCATCTTCAAACGAAACTTCACCTAAATAAGATTTTTCAAAATAAATTTGGGATCTATGGCCAAACGCTAGCTTAAAAATTTCATCAAAACGCTCTTCTATTTGCTAATATAATTATTAGTCTTTAATATATGTATTTTTAAAATATTATATTGTAGTTTTATGTATAATAACGCCTGTCATATAAAACACACATTGATTTTCTGTGCGTGCAGGTAGTGCAATCAAGTTTGTGAAGCATAGGGTTGATGCTATTGATAAGGAAAAAATGACCTATGCTTACACATTGATAGAAGGTGATACTTTGATGGACAAGATTGATTCAATTTCATATGAGATAAACTTTGAGTCAATGCCTGATGGAGGATGTAAAGGTAAAAACACTAGCAAATACAATACAAAACCTGGTGTTGAGATTAAAGAAGAGGAAATTAAGGCAGGCAAAGAGATGGCTGCTGGTATTGTCAAGGCTGTTGAGGCTTATCTCTTGGCAAACCCGAATGAATACGTTTAATTAGCCGACCCTGACTTGTTTGGAACTGAGGTTTGAGGCGTCGTAATTGTTATTGTTATTGTTGTTGTATGCTCCGGTTTGAATACTAGCTGTCTAGTATTCAGTTTGTTTCTCCTTTGTTTAATTTACTACTTTTGTTGGTTAATAAAACTTGTGTGTTTGGTGTGAGAAAGCATTTCTATACCACAACTCCTTAAGAGTACTAGTATCAAATTGTATTGAGGTTTTTCTTCGATTCATTTTATATGCTCCACTTATAATTTAATGGTTATTTTTACACAAGCATATTAATGAGGTTCATGTTCTATAAATTCCCCGAGGGTCTTTCAGAAACAGCCTCTCTGCCTTTCAGGGTAGGGGTAAGGCTGCGTGTATCTCACCCTCCCCGGACTCCACTTGTGGGAATTCACTAGGTTTGTGTTGTTGACTTGTTGTAGTAGTATGTTCTATAAATTCCGTTCAAATGATCAGTCCAATACCATTATATTGAGCAAACTTTTGCTTCTACCTAATGTTCAGTTCTATTTTATGTGCACTATTAGTGTTATTTTTATTTTACATACACATCACATAAATGAGGTCCATATCTATTTTACACAAACATGCATATTAAATATACATCCCATTATATTGAGCAAAGTGTTAATTCTACCTTATGTCATTTCCATTGTATATGCACTACTAATGTCTACGGGATAAAGTTAGCAAAATTCATCCTTTGGGTGTCTCTACTAGATATTGAGTCGTAAATTACAAAATTAACAAGAAAAATTGGAAGTAAACAACATTAGTTTCAACGAAATGGACTCCATTAAAGCATAATAGTCACAATATACGTTGAGTTTCAGTTCAACTATCTGTCAATGCTCCTCATTCTAGAGGAAAATGACTACAGGGGAAGAAAAGAAAGAAGCAGATTTACATCTACAAGTCTAATTGCATTACTGCTTATACAGTACAATGTAGACAGATCAAAAGTCAAATTTCAACATACGATATGCAGTCTATTTGTGATGCCAGCCACGAACATGTTCTTACCTTTGCTGATGCATTATTATGATGTTTTTCAGCAAAGCTACTTGATAATCCCAGCGACTTAGTGAAGAGATCTGAAATCTAGTGTTTTTGTTATAATGATGAACCCAAACTTCACTCATTCAATGGACATCTAATGGAATAACTAAATCAGCAATGTCATTCCGCGTCCAACTTAACCGCCATATCGGTATTTTAACAATTCTGGAGGCTCCTCTTCCATGATTCCAGAACCAGTAGTTGCCAAGTACTCACGTATTGTTGTTCTACGATCGCCAAGGAAAGTATGATCAAGAAAATTGTCGTAAGCTATATCACCAAGATTTTGAGCTGCCAGAACACTGCAAAGTAAATCTTTAATCATTTATTAGACTAGGATGCTCATTTACTTCTTGTGTTAGGTTTGAAATAAATCTTGACTAACAATAAATTAAAGGTTTACAAGTACAAGGTATAGTTGTTTCAATCCAAGCCAAAAGCAAAGTTAATTTTAGGTAGTGTCATCGGAAAAAAGAACAATTCTGTCCAATCAAGGAATGAAATCCAAATAATCTCAGAGTCCAAAGTTTTGAGGAAGCAAGTTTCGAATAAGAACGTGGTTTGCACTAACAAGAACTGGATAGAACTAACCAATGGCGGAGATAGACACGGCAAGGTAATATATCATCCCTCCAAATCTTGTCAATATTATACCGTCCATACTGCTGGAAGAAGATGCCTTTATCACCTAATGATAAAATAAGAGAGAACACATCAAACTGCAACATCTACGAAGAAGCCAAAATAAGAGCTAGGATACTAGCAACTTAGGAGAGAGAAACAAAACTGTCCTACAAAGAACAACATAAAATTGAATCATCAATTCCAGAACTGGCAGTTAATTCTCCTTTCTGGAGGAAGCCCATTTTCTTATCATTAGTGTCAGCAAGGTAGCTCTTTGGTACACACTCTACCATATGACAATGTTGGCTTTTCCTTTAGTTTCACAACAACACTACACCTTAGTTCCAAACAAGTTAGGGTCGGCTTTTCCTTTTGTTTTAGAACAAAAATAAATATATTTTAATAAGAAAATAAAATACAGATAAATTCTCAAACTAACAAGCATTACAATAAGATGCATCTACCTATATAACCACAAAATTTTACGTGACTACACTCTTATCTCATCACTCATACTTATGACATGTTATATCGTAAAGATTCACCCATGAGGTTGTAACCTAGATAAGGAGGTATGCAAAATTACAGCAGTTAAGACTCGCAAACAGTGTGCAAATATCCCATGTTGCGCATACTCATGTTGAAGAATTAAAAAATTTCATCCTTCTCAATTTTGGACATCTTTGTATCAGTGACTCGGTGGGATTTTACTGGGTAGTTGTTGTTGTTGTTGTTGTTGTTTTGTATCAGTGACTCACTACCATTCCTAGGGATAGGAAAACTACCTTTGCATCTAGTTTTCAGATACTCCTCATCACTATAACGGGCACAAATTATCTGCATTAAGAGATAATACAAAAATTGGATCAGGAATATGAATTATTGGTCCAATAGAGGTAGAAACGGACAAGCAGTCTCAGGGTGCTTAGTACTTACTGCTGGGTTGATGTAAAACAATCCATTTAATGTTTCTGGGATTACCTAAATAAAAAGGGATACTGATATTAATTACTTGAATTGAAGTTACACTTCCATTTACATAGTTAGAGAAAGGAAAGAGAAGGAAGGATTATCGAAGGTCTCACAGCTAAAAACCGGAATTCGTGCTCCCTTTCAATAAATGCTGGAATCTGGCCTTTACAGAGAAGAAGTTAGAGATCAGAAGTAGTCATGTCAAATTAAGATGGATTATTACTAAGACATTACCTCTGATCTCTGAATTTCAAAGATAGTAACTATAAGAGTTTCCCCTTCACAGGGCTCCACACTCAAGCTTGATATTTCCTGGAAATATAGAAATATTCCACACAATAGAAGTCAGTCCTAAACAAATTTCTTCAGTCTGTGCGAGTAATTAGAGAAGTAGCAATAGCTTATTCACAATGATGGTTTTCCTGATACCACAAATGTACAAAATCGAAAATGAAGCTAATCTAACTCATTCATGCAGAGAGATTTGCTAAGATTTTCGACAAAGAGACAACCAGGGACTGATACTTTCTCAATTTAAACAGAGAATTAGGCTGGGATTTCTTTCATTGTCATTTGATAAACTTGGAGTCTCAACCAACTTACTCGCACCTCGACTAATCCACTATTCCACTTGGTTTGCTAGGCTTATACCATTCTTTCATTTCCAGTTCTCTCCTTCCAAATTTCCAGAAGCATTGTCCTCCTTCCCAATTCCAGAAAAACGACTTAAAACGATTATAACAGACCATTTTCTGATTTCCAATTGTTTCACCCTTTCAAAGCCGGAAAAATTCTACCGATAAATATTTATGTAAACCAATCAAAAGTTGTAACTTTTACACAAAATTGTTGTTGAGCAATTCTGTTTTAATTTTAATTTTCTTTCTCCTTTCTAATATCCAATTGATATATCAAGCCATAAGTATAGAATAGCCATCTTTTTGCTTTGTTCTTTTATTCTTTGCTTTCTGAGCAAAACCAAACATTATAAAAGATTATATTCTTAGTGAATGTATGGCACCTTGGTATCAGGATTAGCAATGCCACGCTCGAAGAAAATAGGTGCCACATGAGCAAATACTCTCCGAAATCCACTCAATTTTGCCACTCTGAAATTGATCAGATCTGGAAATGTACTCCGAGCACTCCTCTCTGTTCTACCAACAACACAATACGATCAAAATGCCATAGAGACAGTATATCCCACAATGTTGAGATAAAGCAATTTTTTTTCTCCCTTGGAGTTAGCTGCTAAGCATTAAAATGCTGGAAACACTCTTTAGTGTTAAACTGATTTTATAAATAAGCAATGTACATGTTTAAACTTAGCCATTCAAGAAGTACACAAAAAAGTATAATAAATTGCAATTCTGTTATATGAAAGTGTTGAAAAAAATATGTGTTAAAATACTGATCAAAGTTCCGTTAGTTTAAATATCGCCAAACACACAAGTACCAAAATATTCACCATAATCAAAGTTAAATCTATGATTAAACTGAAGGAGAGAACCAAAGCCGCATACGGAGAAAACTAATACTCCCTCTGTTCGCTTTTACTTGGCACGTTTTGATTTTTCAAGCACTTTAAGAAATAATAAATGAATTGCATAATTTACCATGAGGCTCCTATTAATTGATGCATATTTTATTGGATTTGATAAAATGATTTAAAATGAGTAATAAATGTATAACAATAAAAAAAAAAGTCTGTCTTTCAGCGTAAACTGACAAATAAATAATGAAAAGGTATTTTTAGTATAGATGCCAAGTAAAAGTGAACGGAGGAGAAGTACATAAAAAGTATCGAAAATACTGAAATTATAACTTTCTAAAAAATATTAGTCAAAGTTCACATGTTTAATTTCTAAAGCAAAATTGCCAAACATTTTTACTTTTTTAGGATTAGAGGAAGTATGAATATATCAACCTGAGAGGAGAGAACCGAAGCCGCAAATGGAGATAAGTCCATCGGAGGAGACGATTCGATCAAAATCGAACTCATCAATTAGTTCGATAGGAAACTTCATTTCATCATCGGCGGCAGCAGCGGCGGCGGAAGGCATGGTAGATTTTGGCGGGAAAAAATATCTCCGGTGAGGAAAAGAGAAATTGAGTGAATGAGGAGAAGAAGCAGCGGCGGAGGTAGTGAAGGCATAATAAGTAGGTCGTAAGCGCGTGGGAACACGGACGTGTGGCAGAAATGGAGGTCCTACGCCTATACAAGGAGGAGTGTAGGTGTAAGTGGTCATGCGTAACACGTGAAGAGTGTGAGAAAGATGAGTGCTGTTTGTTTGGGCGGAGGAATTTGATTCTGTTGATTGGGACGAATAAATGCCGAAAGCTAAGCCAGAAAGAGACACACACCTACACCACCAATAAGTCATTTTGGTCAATCCAACACCCAATTGTTAGCTTAGGGGTCGTTTGGTTAACAGTATCGTCAAACTTTTTTATAACAGTCTCGTTTGTTTCGATATTTTTTGGTTGTTATACACTAAAATACTAGTAGTATAGATGACATATATTATAACATAACATAAAAATCAATTCCAAGACGAATTTGACATTTATAAATAACTGTTGTATAAAAATGTTGTTATAGAGATGTTTGATTGTATAAGAATATTAGTTCTGGTATAAAATTTTGGATTATAGGTATTTCATGTTTGGTTGTGGCTATTAACATATAAAAATATAAATTTTATACCAACAAGGTGGTATTAACTATCACATGTAATACGTGGGATAGATAATTTCATGTGATATCCCACAATTATAATCTTATAGAATATCGTGGAGCTGAAACGATTAAAGAATTTAAAAACTTATGTATTATTTTATATAGAATAGAATGTGAAATAAGCATACAAAAATTACTAACACATGAATTAAGATAATTAAAATGACGAAAAAAGGTCACATAGTAAACAATATTTTAATATTGTTTTAAAAAGTACACAACACATGGAATAGCGGAATTAGGTTTGTGTCCAAGTGTGAATTATAGACGAATCTAAGCTTCAAAAATCAGTTTATTTTGAGAAATATTTTTTTTTAAAGTGCTTTTCTCAGAAGTACTTTTGGTGAGAGGCAGTTTGTGTTTGGATAATTAATTTGAAAAACACTTTTGAGCACCAATTAATGTTTGGCCAAAAAGTACTTTTAAGTATATTTTTCTCAAAAGTGTTTTGGGGGAGAAACTACAATTTTCTGCTTCTACTCAAAAAAACTTTTTTTCTTCTAAAAGCTTTGCCAAACACTTCAACTTTGGAAAAAAAAAACACGGCCAAATAGGCTAGAAGAGGGCCAGTTAAACTGCAATCTATTTTGTACATTTGTTAAGCAAACAACTCAAACATTTTAGAAAAGGGAAGGGAACTTCTCACCCCCTAAGGGGGCGAAAAGCTATCGCTCCTAAAATGGAAGCTTCTCGTTAACTATTTTAGAGCGTATCACCATTTTTATCTTTAAACAAATAGGAATATCTGTTAATACAAATTTTTCCCCTTCCCCCACGTATTCTAGATTTCTAGCCATTTTCTTGACTATTTGATCAAAAAGTATTAAACTCTTTGTTAAACTAATTAATGATGAGATAGAGGATGAATCCTATTTAAATATAATCAAATCTAGATAAAAGTTTGGATAGATCCGTGGGGTCAGACCACGTTTAATAATAACAAGATTAGGCACGTGTTCAACGTTTATAGATGAATATTATAATAAGAACCTGCAATAAATGTAGACAACGACAATAAATATAATAAAGATGAATTTATCACCCAAATGTTAGACGGTTTGGGGTCAATCTTCTTCCTGACAGCAACGTGGAACTAAGATAAATGTAGATAGATAAGGAATCTCTGGATCTTATGAACAAGGAATGAATAACGTAAGTAGAGCTATAGAATCATTGAACAAGACAATATTTGTATATTCTTTCAAGTCAACTCTTTACAAGGTGTTCTTATCAAAAAGAGAAGATCCCCTTTTTGTTCTCTATCTCTTCCTATTTGTAAGGGGTATCCCCAAGGAACCCTAAAAAGTACAACATAAGGAATATTCCAAAGGATATTCCTTATGGCTATTTCTAAATCTACCCCACCGTTACTTCTTTACTCCATTTGCTCGCCCTTAGTGATAATCCTTCTGAAGACAACTCCTCGCCATTATGCTGTAGTCGACTTGGTCCTCGACCCTATTTATCTGCAATTATCAAGCCGTCCAAATTTAGACCAATACAGTTAGCCGCTTGTTGAGGTCGTGATCTTGCACGTCCTCGATAAGCGGACCCGATCTACGTCCGTTTTGAAAAAAATTGGTCATGTTGATTAAGTCGAATCGACCGAGGTCGAAAAAGCGGCGTGGCCAACGAGGTTGTAGTTGGTGTGGCTAACGTGGGGTGACGTCATGGCCACACGCGTCATCATTACGTATCTTCCCGATGCAGTGTCTATGCTTCTGTCGTTTCGATTTGGTGCCATTAAGGGTCTGCTGCTTCGATTATGGTGCCACCCAACCCTATAAATAGATGGGGGGCTTCATTTTTGAAATTTTTTATCATTTCACATTTCGCCTGTGCATTGCTCTTCTTTGATCTTTTCCTCCGATCTCTGCTTTCAATTCCTTGTAGCTTCTTCAATTTTAATCCCTGACTTCTCACCCAATCAATACCTTCTCCAGATTTCGTTGCATATGTTTTCTACGAAAATATGTCAGAATCCCCTCATATTAATGACGAGGTCTCCGATGCCACTCGTTTATCGGTGGCTTTTCCTCCCGCCGGCGAGGAATTCATGATTGAAGATGATGGCAGGTTCCCCACTATGGAGGAGATAGTCCCCAAGAATCCTTTGGTCAGACATGACTTCCCAAAGGAACCTGCTCCTGCTCCTGCTCAGAGACTTTCTGAGACGGGGCCGCCTCAGATAAACGACCTCCGGTCTAAACATCGCATTCTTCCTCATGTCAAAATTGTTCCGACCGGGGGCGACATCGTAGAGGTTCACCGACCCGGCTACTGTGCTTTTTATGTTTACCCATTCTTAATTGGTTATTCTCTTCCTCTACCCCCCCCCCCCCCTCCCCCCATTAGTGGAAGAGTTTTGCCGATTTTATAACGTCTGCCCGGCACAGCTTTCCCCTTATTTGTATAAAGTATTTCTGATGCTGGCAAAGTGCGCATAATTGGCCGGCTGCGAGGTCAACATTCGTCAGCTGCTGCATCTATTTTCGCCCAGTTTTTATAGAGGTACATCGATACACTTGCGTCATCGTGGGATAAAAGCGTTAGTGGCCGGGATGGATGATAAAGCGAACCGGCAGTTCTGGCATAAGTATTTCTTCATCAAGATCGAGCACTTGGTGGCGAATCCGACAGGGTTTCCCGAATGATGGAATTATAATCGTAAGTATCTTGCCGTACACTCGTTATTTTCTTTCTTTTATTATTGACTCATTCGCGGCCTTCTTGTTTATAGCTGAGAGGCGTGCACCTTCTCCCGTTTTTGACATTGGAGACTGGGTGGCTCGCGTGTTACCCCACACCGCGGGGATTCGCGATAGGGCGTCCTTTCACAAGCGCTTTGGACCCACGGTTCCATCCTGTAAGTGTCATTTCTACCCCAGCTTATTGTTGTTCACCATTGCTTTTTGATGCGACCTCCTTTTGGTGCCAGGTCGGTGAGTTTCCAAGAAGAAGGCTCCAGTGCCTGCATTTTGCCAAGCTATTGCGTCGGCTGGGATGCAATTTTCTTTAGCCGAGTCTGCTCGAGGAGGTCGTACTCAAGCTTCGCCAATGAGGGACTCCGCCCCTCAAACTGTTGTTGTGCGGGATGAATCTCTTCCCAGCCCATCTATCATCTTGTAGACGATCCATCTAATGGTGAGGAGTCACTGTCGAGGAAAAGGCGAAGGGTGGAGACCGGGAAGGTCGTTGTTGCTGACATCGAGCCGAAAAAATTCATTGCTTTAGAAGCGGAATCTGCACTTGCACTAGACGTAGAGACCATTTTCATGGCAGGTGACGTTATGGGGAGGAGGCCCTCTGGGGTTGAGGCGGTTCGTGGTAGCGGAGAGCTTACATGGACCGCAGAAGGTGGTGCATCATCAGCGGCCGGGGGAAATAGGGCGATCCCCGCGGGGGATAATGACTCTAGCTCGGACGTCGACCCTGAGGAGGTACGGACCTTTCTGGAGAGGAATACTCGTGTGGAGATAAGGACTGAGGGTCCTAAGCGGCACATAGTCATTCTCGTGGACTACGACCTCTTGGCCAACTCCGAACGGGTGGTGTCAGCCTTTTCTCCCCTGTGCGCGGCTTCTGAGAACACGGCGCTACAGGCAATGAACGATGCGGATCTGTCGTTGGGTATATCCGGCATGGCTTTGCGAGTAAGTGTATTCTTTTTATGTTAGGATTTGTTTCGCATGTGTAGTTTGCTTCGCACTGGATCCTCTCTTTTCGCATGTTAGACTCTTATCATGGGAATCCAGCGTGACCGGCGGGAGGAGCGGAGGACAACCTTTTTTAAGAAGATGACCTCCAAGTACAAGGAGTACCGCACTAAGCATCGAACGCTAGCCGACTTCCTTAGCCACGACGGCGAATTTCAGTCGTTTCGCGATGGGCTTAAACAGAAAGATGATGAGCTGACGAAGAAAGATGAAGAGCTAAGGGAGAAAGATGATGATATAATGAGGGCCATCGGTAGGTGCAACGAGCTTGAGGCAGCTTTAAAGGCCAAAGAGGACGAGCTCGAGGTGAGCAAGGGGGTGATGGCTGAGAACGCTGACCTTCAAACGCAGGTGGCATCCTTAACGGCTGAACTCGGGCAGAGGGAGGCAAGGGCTGTCGATCTAAGGGGTGAGTTGAGTGCCAAGGTCAAAGAATTGAGTCGTGCCGAGAAAGGCAGAATGGCCGCTATGGCTGAAGCGGTAGCCTTAGAAGACGCCCTTCGCGTTTGTAGGTCCGAGCGGGCTAATGAGGTGGAGACATCGGCGCTTAAGGTGGTGAGTTTAGAAGAACGGATCCAAGGTTTGGAGGCGGAGTTGTCTGGGTTAAACGAGCAGGTCGTTGTCTTGAGGGTCGAGGAGGTGCGACGGCAGTCACATCCGTCCACATCTCATACTTCAGCTGATCCCAGTGTGCCGCGGCAGTTGTATGAGATGTGGGTTCATGCCGAGGCTCAACTTGACGTGTATAGATCCTTGAAGGCCGTCGGGAATGTTTTTGAAACAGAGCTTGAGGGCGTCCGTGTCAAGGCACGTGAAGCTTATGGTTACGACCCTGGTACGCCTGGCGGGGATGAGGATGACGACGTCGCGGAATAGGCTTGCCTCTGATCCTTGGCATGATGATGAGTACGCCGATGGGGATGATGTGGCGTGAAGCTGTTGTACTTAGTTTTTGT